TCAGCAGGACAAGCCCAAGCCTGGGAAGTTAGAAGCATGGATCTAAGTGCACTTCCTGAATACTCCTATATCAGTATCATGCTGTGTTTTGTTCCACTCTCATCAGGCTATGTTTTATCTTGCATTTATATTTTTTATGCTGTATATCACATTGCTCTTTGTGGATAGCAAGATTTCCTAGGTCTCATTCAGATTCTTTTACCAAATTCTTTGGCAGAGATTCTGGCATTTTTCTGGTACAGAGGATTTTATAGAAAGATAATGGGGTTTTTTTCAGGACTGAAACTCTATTCAGCTTTAAGAAACACTCATTTGGAACATTTCCCATGTCACCTTGCAGTTTTTAGTCAAAGCCATACACAAGGAAGAACTTGTAAAGGTTATAAAGAACTTGTCAGTATGGAGAATTACCTGAGACGGGAGAGAGACAAATTTGGCTTTCTTTGTTGTCAACTTCTAGGCTTCTGATTGTCAGAAGCAGAAGGGAATAATATAGGAAGGATGGCTCTGTAAATGCTGCACCTTACTGCCATCAAGCACATGAGCCAGGTCCTTAGTCTGGTGAAAGAAGGCAGTTCGTGTCCTGGTGGAGGCTTGTGGTCTGTCTTTTTCATGGAACAGTTTCACAGCTGGGGAGGGTCTTCCAGAACAGGAACATCTTTGAAATCTTGAAAATTACAGTGGGCTGTAAATTAATTTCTTACTGCATTCTTCACTATTATAAGCAGTACTTAAAAAAAAACAAAGGTCACTGTGGTTTTGTAGCTGTACATTAATGAGTTTATTCTACTGGTTTTGATGTAAACTGTTAACAAGATATTGCTGAAAGTCTAGAAGATGTAGAAGGGCTATGATTAAGCAGGGAAGATGTTCTCTACATAATAGGAAAAACATGTTGCTGTAGTTACCACTGTAAAATACCTACATGGACATCAGTTCTGCCCAGTTAGCTAATAAACAAGATATATATAACTGAACAGTCTTCAAGCTTGATATCATGTAAGACAACGCTGGTTCATCACGTTCTAATAATGAAATACTCCTAGGTATATTAAATAAAAAACATGTAAGATGCCAGTTGCTAGGTTTTCAATTCATTGTCAGTTGTTATAAATAAATTCAAGTATTTTGCCGACTTTTTGGATTTGCTAAATTGAAAGAATGGAGTGTGATATAAAATTTCTCTTCTAGTATACCTGTATCTCAGAAACATGATAATTTCCATATGAAGCAGTCTATATTGTATTTAAACTTATATTTTAAACATTTTGTTTAAATGTAAAACAAAAATACGTTATACCCTGGATGCTTTTGCCGTACTGTCAGTGTGGATACCAGATGTGGCCCACAGACAGACACAGGCCCACTTCCCACAGACAGGAGACCTAAGAATCCATGAGCACCTCTTTCAGGTCCAGAGCTCCTTCCTTAAGCCCATTACAATAAAGTAGCTGGATTTTGAAGGAGGTGTAAAGTGGGAAATCCTAAAATACCGAGTATGAGGAAGGACATCATAATAAGGTTGACTTTCCCTTCATGTCATGTGAGACTTCCCAGCTCAGACAGGTACAGCAGGGTCTCCAAATATTCTTGTAACTAAAATTCAACTACTGTTTCAAATTAACAGCCACTTCTGGGAAAGTGTGAGTGCATTAATTATAATGTATTAAGAGTTTTCACTGATAAACAGTGTCCTGGGTTCAGCTGTAACAATTATTTTTCTCCTTAGTAGCTGGTGCAGTGCTGTATTTTCAAATTTAGTTTGAGAACACTGCTCATAACAACACCAGTGTTGCTAAGTAATGCATACCCCAGTCAAGGACTTTCTCAGTCTCATGCTCTGCCAGGGAGGAGGGGAAGCCAGGAGGAAGCAGAGACAGGACACCTGACCCAAACTGGCCAAAGGGGTATTCCATACCACAGCACGTCATGACCAGGACATGAGCGGGGGGGAGTTACCCAGAAGGCCCAGATCGCTGCCCGGGTCAGGCTGGGTGTCGGTCGGCGGGGGGGGAGCAATTGTATTGTGCAACACTTGTGTTTATTGTTTTCTTTTTTTTACTTTCTCCATTTAGTTTTATATTCTCTCCCCTTGTTATTTCCCTTATTGTTATTATTATTATTGGTAGCAGTAGTGGTTTTGTATTATACCTTAGTTACTGGACTGTTCTTATCTCAAACCCGTGGGATCTACATTCCTTTGATTCTCCTTCCCATCCCTCTGAGAGTGGAGGGGAAAGAAAAGGAGCGGAGTGAGTGAGCGGCTGCGTGGTTCTAGGTTACTGGCTGGGCTTAAACCGTGACAAACAACTTCAAGGGACAAGCGAGAAATCCATGACACAAGCAGACAAATGATAATTACTGTAGAATTCATTCTGCCAGACAATTTCACACAAAAATACTATGGTATAAGTAGCAGTCATGCCAAAGATAGTTTTCTTGATTTTAATATAGATTTGTTATGGCTAAAATACAGGTACCTTGAAGGAACAGAAGTATTTTTGGCTATACAGGAGCCTACACAAAATAAAAGTTTCCTGACCTTGTTTTCTTTTTAGGAATATATACCTGTAATGAAGAGGAAACTTAGTCGTGATTAATCATATCATCCTTCAGTGTTGATATAAACCCATGCTGAGGCTGAAGGAGGAAAGACTGAATGTGCTGTTTTCTCAGATATCAATGCTTTGGTGGTTTTCCAAACCCCATGTATAAAAGCTATATCATTATCATTTCTCTGGGTCCAGTTTTCTTTTCTGTTTGTCATTCCAAATGGGTGACAAGTTTGCTAGAGAAGTGCATTAATATTGAATGTGCCTTTTGCAAATGATATATTCCAGCTTCACACAAAATACGTTCTCAGCATGTATTTACCAGCCTACATAGGCTAATAAGAGGTGTCTGAGAAAGTCTCAAGTTCTTAAATTTATACTCAGGTTTCAATACAAAGAAAGAGGATTTTTTTTTTTGGTCACAGATATTTCTATGTGTGAATATGTTCATTCACCATGGTGGATTTCCAGTGATCGTTCTATCCTTAGCAATTCCTAAGTGAATCAAACAAGTACTTCTGGTCTAAAGCACAAAACGTCAGGGAATACATGAAAGCAT